AGTAAGGACTTGTGTCGCTAAAGCTTCGTCGGAACGAAGTTACGGAAAATTAATTAACAAACGGAGACGTAACACTATTATATGAATCTAATTTATAATGTTCTTCATTCACATCTTTTTTCTGAATTCGTAAAGTTTTAACTTTTGTCCACCTTTTTTTAACATTGAACATGACACAAGTGACAAGGAATTAAAAAAAATACAACTAACAACATGTGTTTCTTCTTCACACTAACAATATGTGTCTCTTCTGTAAACTAGCATTACATTTTACACTTAACATTAGGTTTTGCTTCTTTACAGTAACGTTACGTTTTTCGTCTTTACATTAACATGAGGTATTGCTTCTTCACCCTAACATTTGTTGTTGCTTCTTTACATTAACATTAGTTTTTTTTTCTGTACACTAACATAAGGTTTAACGTCTTTACACTAACGTTAGTTGAGTTTTCTCTAAACTAACATTAACTGATTAACTGTTGCTTCTTTTTATTATCAGTAGGTATTGCTTCTGTACACTAAGAATAGGTGTTGTTCTTTACACTAATATTACGTGTTGTTTCTTCTTTACACTAACATTATGTGTTTTTTCTTTACATTACCATTAGGTTTTGCTTCTGTAGACTAGTATTAGTTGTCAGCTACTTAGAGTAATATTATGTTTTGCTTCTTTACGTTAACATCAGGTGTTGTTTCTTCACACTAACATTAGGTTTTGATTCTGTACACTAACAATAGGTGTTGCTTCTTTACCCTAACATTAGGTTTTTCTTCTTTACACAAACATTAGTTATTGCTACTTTACACTAAAATTGAATGTAATTTCTTACATTAACATTACGTTTTGCTTCTTTAAACTTTCATTAGGTGTTGGTTCTTCACTCTAACATTTTGTTACTTCTTCACACTAACATTAGGTGTTGCTTCTATACACTAATACTATTTGTTGTTTCTTTATACTAACTCAGGTGTTGTTTCTGTACACTAACATTAAGTGTTACTTCTTCACACTAATGTTAGATGTTGCTTCTGTATATTAACGTCAGGTGTTGTTTCTTTACGCTAACATTAAGTGTTGGTTCTTTACACTAATATTAAGTGTTGCTTCTTTACACTAACATTATATGTTGCTTCTTCACACTGACTATTTCTGTAAGATATAGCGGTGAGTGTTTATCTCTATGACTGGAAGGACTTTCGTTTTTCGTTCATTATCCTTTACTATCAGATTTACTTTCTCTAATCATTTTCAAATCTTAATAAAGCTTTGTTTCTTGTTTAAGCGAAAAGCTACAAACATGATTTATATGTGCTGTGCCGAACGAGGGTATAAGTCGAGAAAGTGTCATTTGTGTGAAATATCTTCCAAATAAAAAAAACTAGCGTTGAAATCATAGCCAGTCGTCACACGATGACATCGACATTGTGTAGCGTACTCGTTGTTTCAAAAAGTTTAATTGAGCAAAAGAAAAAAACATGTAGTATGGTTCGGAATTAAAAAGCCAACATGCAATCCGGACTCCCCGGACAAATACCTTTCTGACGATGTAAGATTTGAAGCGTTTGATCGAGAAATTTTCGAGAATATTTCCGGACAGACAGACAGAAGAATTCCTTCGTATTATTTATATAAATTGAATATTTCTGCTAAAACATGCACGGTATGATGTTTATTTTTAGTGAAAAGGGAGTACCCCTTATAGTACTCCTTATATGGACACTTTTGATTCCATATTTTTCATTTGTCAACTTCATTATTTGATTTAATTCTTTAATTACCAATTTTATTGATTTACTCTTTTAAATGTCAGTTTAATTGTTATTATCTTATGTATTAATATCTCACTATACCTTGGTGTTTAACATTTATGTGGTTATTTCTTTCTTTTAAATGCCAGTTTAATTGTTATTATCTTATGTATCATATCTCACTATAACCTTGTTGTTTAACATTTATGTGGTTATTTCTTTCTTTTAAATGCCAGTTTAATTGTTTTGTATTGTGTATTATATCTCACTATACCTTGTTGTTTAACATTTATGTGGTTATTTCTTTCTTTTAAATGCCAGTTTATTTGTTATTATCTTATGTATCATATCTCACTATACCTTTTGTTTAACATTTATGTGGTTATTTCTTTCTTTTAAATGCCAGTTTAATTGTTATTATCTTATGTATTATATCTCACTATACCTTGTTGTTTAACATTTATGTGGTTATTTCTTTCTTTTAAATGCCAGTTTAATTGTTATTATCTTATGTATCTTTTGCGTGTAAATCTATTTTGTATCAATTCATCGTTACCACATATAATTTTGCTTATACTGTTTCTGTGAGGGCGTATAAATAATGATAGAATAAAACATTGAGGTGTTATAACGCAGGAATTGAGGAATATCGAGCAAAGAAATATTCCCGAATCAACACTTTAAATAACCTTAAAATCTTACATTAGATTTCTAAGTCGAAGAAAGAGATAAAAGGCGACTTGAACAAAAAGAAGAAGAAACAGCACGTTGAGGAAATGGAAGAAGACGTGGAAAGCCGTGATTGGTGGACGAGATATTTTGAATCGGTAGAAGTTGCTACAAAAGTAAGTATAGCATGTTTCGATGACGATAAAGAAAGATTATGATTTGGTACGAACACAAAATGGCTACCGAATCTTTGGTTGTTTTAATAACAAAGTTACTTTAAAGCTGTTCAATAATTGCTTGGAAAATTTTATAAATAGAACACTGAATTAAAACAAAATAATAAAAATAACATTACATAGGGACATCAGGTTTTCAGTTTTTTAACAATGTTTTTTATATATTTTATAACATGTATCTAAATTATAAGGTTTCAGATCATGAAATGTATCTTTAAGCACAAGACTTTCAAATTGTGACATGTGTAGCTAAGCAAAACGACTTTCAGGTCGTGACATGTTATATTCGAAAAAACCGTACTTGATGAATTGAGAAACGCCATTTTGGATGTTACAGTCAGTTTAGAAATAATACAAATATTTTATATTTTCATACTAATGTACCAAATAGAAAAATATCTTACGTGAATCCAGTATTGCATTGAACTTCACGAGTTACTGGAGGAAAAAGAAGCGATTGTGGAAAACAAAATCTAATCATTACTGGAGGAAAAAGAAGCGATTGTGGAAAACAAAATCTAATCATTTATGGAAGAAAAAAAGCGATTATGGAAAACAAAATCTAATCATTACTGGAGGAAAAGAAGCGATTGTGGAAAACAAAATCTAATCTTTTATGGAAAAAAAGAAGCGACTATGGAAAACAAAATCTAATCATAACTGGAACATTGCAGGCACATTTTCTGCTGCGTTTTGGAAAAATGTCAAATTCATATAAATGTGACATTAATTTTTTTTCTGGTTGTAGAAAGAGAAAGAAAGCAACCATTTATCCCCTGAACCACATGATAACAGAGAGGCGTCATCACCCCTGGCTGCTGATAGTGGACTACTTAGTCCAGAAGGAGGTATGTTCATTAAAGTTACTGTAATGGTTCTTGGATACAACAGAAGGTATGGTCAATAAAATTACTGTAATGGTTCTTGGATACAACAGAAGGTATGGTCAATAAAATTACTGTAATGGTTCTTGGATACAACAGAAGGTATGGTCATTAAAATTACTGTAATGGTTCTCTGATACATCAGAAGGTATGGTCAATAAAATTACTGTAATGGTTCTCTGGTACATTAGAAGGTATGGTCAATATAATTACTGTAATGGTTATTTGATACATTAGAAGGTATGGTCAATAAAATTACTGTAATGGTTCTTGGATACAACAGAAGGTATGGTCAATAAAATTACTGTAATGGTTCTCTTATACATTAGAAGGTATGGTCAGTAAAGTTACTGTAATAGTTATTTGATACACTAGAAGGTATGGTCAATAAAATTACTGTAATGGTTCTCTGATACATCAGAAGGTATGGTCGGTAAAGCTACTGTAATGGTTCTTTGATAAATCAGAAGGTATGGTCAATAAAATTACTGTAATCGTTCTCTGATACATCAGAAAGTACGGTCAGTAAAATTACTGTAATGGTTCTCTGATACATCAGAAGGTATGGTCGGTAAAGCTACTGTAATGGTTCTTGGATACAACAGAAGGTATGGTCAATAAAATTACTGTAATGGTTCTGTGATACATCAGAAGGTATGGTCAATAAAATTACTGTAATGGTTCTCTGATACATCAGAAGGTATGGTCAATAAAATTACCGTAATGGTTCTCTGATACATCAGAAGGTATAGTAAAAAAAATACTGTAATGGTTTTTTGATACATCAGAAGGTATGGTCAGTAAAATTACTGTAATGGTTCTCTGATACATCAGAAGGTATGGTGGGTAAAGTTACTGTAATCGTTCTCTGATACATCAGAAGGTATGGTCAGTAAAGCTATTGTGATGGTTCTCTGATACATCAGAAGGTATGGTCAGTAAAGCTACTGTAATGGGTCTCTGGTACATCAGAAGGTATGGTCAATAAAATTACTGTAATGGTTCTGTGATACATCAGAAGGTATGGTCAGTAAAGTTACTGTAATGGTTCTCTGGTACATCAGAAGGTATAGTCAGTAAAGTTACTGTAGTGGTTCTCTGGTACATCAGAACGTATGGTCAGTAAAGTTACAGATGCAGTAGAAAGACTCCACTGTTGTGCTCGTTTAACTTTGGTTGAACAATAAAGTTTCTTTTATGTTTAGTTTCTGTTTGTAATTCGCTTTACCCTCTACAAATATGTACATTCGTTAGAAATGGCATAGACTTAAAGATAGCATGTTATTTTATGTGAACTTGAAGCCACCTAGTGGTGGATCCAATATAACCTAAAGAACATTTGGACTGATATATAAACTTTTAAGTTTTAAATATGTATATTAGAACCTTAATCCCAAAGAACTGTTGAAATATACATTGAAGTTTAAAAATACATTATAGTAAATGTAAACTCGATAACCACAGTTCTGTCGTTCCTGTATAATTACAGTTGCTTATGTGTATGTATGATAAAACTAAAGGTATTTTCTGTTTAGTAACTTTTATAATTGGGTTGTTTTATACCATTTAAATAATCATAGATAAACAGAAAAAATATATAAACCCTCAAAGAGTTCATATAATTAGTTCAGACTCAAATGTATCATTTTCATCATGAATTTAGAATGTCAGACTTGAAAATGTTAAACTATGAACTCTGAAAGGTAGTTTTAAAACTATTCATTTGTCGGCATCTCTATAACTAAGTACATTGGTTTAAACGTTGTAAATGAGATTATTATTATTGTAGTTATAAAGTTCCACGATTTTAAAGATTCATTAACAATATATCTGTTTACCTCTACCGAATAATATTATTTAGGCCTGAAATAGTTTGAAACAGGCTTTTAATAATTAATTAAGAAAAATAGTTCGCTCTAAGAATATACAGAAAATAAATATTAATATACGAGTAATATTTCTGAAGTTTGGAGTTTACTGACATTATTAAATTAGGAAGTCAGCTGAGTGCTAAAGATACGAAACGAATGGAGAAGGAATTAGAACGGTTAGAACAAGAGCATAATCTCTCTGATTCGGATAAGAAGTCCAGATCCATCAGATCTACATCAGCCACAGTTCGTCTTGTTCAGAGATTGTCGCCGAAGTCCCAACGAAAGCATATCAATAACGAATCACTTCTGCAGGTAAAAACATACAATAATAGAATCAATACTTTAACACAATACTTGTAACAGAATCAACACTTTAACACAATACTTGTGACAGAATCAACACTTTAACACAATACCTGTAACAGAATCAACACTTTAACACAATACCTGTAACAGAATCAACACTTTAACACAATACTTGTAACAGAATCAACACGTTAACACAATACTTGTAACAGAATCAACACTTTAACACAATACTTGTAACAGAATCAACAATTTAACACAATATCCTCTAACAGAATCAACACTCCATCTTTAACATAATGTACTGTAACAGAATCAACACTCCGTATTTAACATAATGTACTATAGCAGAATCAACACTCCGTCTTTAACATAATGTACTGTAACAGAATCAACACTTTAACACAATACCTGTAACAGAATCAACACTTTAACACAATACCTGTAATAGAATCAACACTTTAACACAATACTTGTAACAGAATCAACACTTTAATACGATGTCCTCTAACAGAATCAACACTTTAACACAATACCTGTTACAGAATCAACACTTTAACACAATACTTGTAACAGAATCAACACTTTAATACGATGTCCTCTAACAGAATCAACACTTTAACACAATACCT